AGTGTTGTCAGCCGTTCCCGTGCCGCTGAACGGACAGCACGGGCTCTGCGGTGTGAGCCGCTCCATCCCGCAGCCCGCCTCTGCCTTCAGGGTAACGAGGGAGTGGGAATAGTTCGGGTGTCTGTACCTACGGTGACTGTCACAGTTGTTTCATCCACTTGTGCTTTGGCCATGCAAATGTAGGTCAGAACTCTGCAGCCACGCTGAATGCAAAAGCAGATATTGCTGAAGAGTGTGGAAGGGCTTCTTGGTGGTTAAAAAGTTAACGGGGTTTATTGGGTTGGAATGATCACTTGGCTGCGTACTCTGGAGACTTTATTTTGCCATGATGCATAGGACCAATTGCAGCTTGATTGTTGCTATATTTATCAGGAACTGCTCTTTTTTCCTGCTCTAGAACAAAAAAGTGCATATATGACTGTAAGTGTCATTTTTACTTCACAAGATTGGCAGTATCCAAAAACTGATGGGCACGTCTGAGATAGTATGTAGTGCTTTATTCTGGATGTTTTAATTGAAAAGTCTTTGTTTTTGAAGCTTTCCTTTTTTATCCTACTGCAGTCAGCATTTTTGTATTTTGTCTAACAGATGATGGTGAAGATGATGACTCAGATTCTCACCCTGAAATGGTAACCATTTTAAGCATACCTTTCCATCTGTCTATTGAAGGGAGCAGGAGGAAGGGGAATTTCATTCTGTTCTGGGGAAATCTGGGCAGCTGGCTTGACTCTGTAGCTTGGGAAGGATTCATAATAGACCTGGAGGTTCAGCTATTTCTACCCAGGACTTTGTTATTCACGTGTAATAGAGAGACTTCTTCATGTGAAAACTAATGACAGGGATCAGAGGTGTCAGTGCTCTAGTGCTTGCTGATCCTTGTCACTGGAAACACACCAGCTTCTGGAAAGGTCACAGAGCAGTTACATGTGAGAAAGAAATCATCACCTTGTGATCAAGAAATCTTTTACTTCTTTGTACCTGAAGAATACTGGGTTTATACATGAGGAAAAAATTACTTCCAAGACTTTTTACAGATCTGTTTACCTTTGGTGGTGTTTTAAACATCATATTTTCTCAGACTTTGTATAAAAACATTTAGTAGAGAAATATTGTAACACCTGTACAGCACAGGAAAGGAGAAGCTCGTTTGTGAAGACAAATCTGCTGGTGCAGATTGGACCCACGTGCAGAGCGCTTTGATGAAACAGTCAGCCCTGCTTTGTGTCTGAAACATGTGGTAATAAATCATGTAAGGGAAGAGTTGCTTCAGTAGAGGTATGGATGAGGTGGAAATTTGAAGGGGTGGTTCTGAAATACAGATTTAGTGGGTAAGAGAGCTCCAGTGTGAAGTACTACTGTTTTGCAGTTTACTTCCAGTTTTGCAGTTGGTGGCAGAAGACCAGGTGTTGGCATGGTTTGGAGTCAGACTTGGGTTCAAATAGCAGCAGGAAAAATGAATGATCAGGGCCAAGAGGGGCCAGGCGAGGCTGGTAACTGCCTCTGGAGGTGTTCAAAACCACTGCCAGGGAGAAACGCACAGTTCTGGGCCTCCAATTATTTTGAAAATATTTTTTGTAAGATAATAGAAATATTGAGTTACAAAAACATTTTTGTTACATACCTGCTTTTAAAGCAAGTGTTTTTCTTTCCTTTTTTCCCCTTCTCCCTTAAATGCCTTATTTGCTTCAAGGAAATTGAAAGAGAAGATGATAGTAGCGATGATGATGTTGAAAGTAGTCTGCCACAGGATCCAGAAACATGTCTGCAGATGAACCACGTGTACCAGGAAGTTATCCAGGAAAAGATTGAGGAGGTCGAGCTTCTCATTGCACAAAACAAAGAACAGCAGGTGAGTGAAACTGCAGTAAAACGTTCAGTCCTTTGCTTTTCTGGGTTGCCATTTGCCATCTTCCCCTGCCCATCAAGCCCAGTAAAACTTCCTGGGATGTTCCTAATCCATCACAGGTACCAGTAGAATCAGCTGCAGCAGTTGTAGTTGTATTCATGTGCTGGTGCAGTGCTCAGCTTGTGGCCTGGAACCAGGTTCATTTTCTTCATGGCAGCTCAAAACAATTTTGCTTGACTGGCCTTTCAAATGGCTTATTTGGCTGATCTCTGCATTCTTTCTTATCACCAAAAATGCTACCTCTAGGGTATTTTATATCTTATATTTTAGCTTAATGCAGCAGGTTAGTTGGTTTTTTGGGGTTTGGTTTTTTTTAATCATCTGCCGTGTACTGTACAAGCTTAGGAAGTTCCAAATCCTGTCTTTAACACGTACACTGATTTACACTCTGGTGCTGCAGATTTGAACCCTGCCTGGGATGTTTGTGATGGCTCAGCTGCTGCTCTCTGAAATGAAGAATTTGAAGGAGACACTGATACTGTTTAATTAATTCTTGTATTTCAGAAGGAAATCATGGGCGAGCTTGGTGGTCAAAAAATAGCCAAGGCAGGAGATGGTAGAAATCTACCAGCGAATATATTTTTGGGTCATTTTATGAAGCCGTACTTTAAGGATAAAACAACAGGAATTGTAAGTAAATATAAGTAGGTTGCATACCAGTATGTCTTTCAATGAGAGATTTAAATTGTAACTGTTAGAACTGTGTCATGTTTCCGCTGTGTAACTGTGAATGTCACTCCTCACTTTGAAACCTTGTTTTTTTGTTGGTTTTTTTTCCTCTCACTTGTTACTTACTTACCCTCTTTTGGAAATGTTTGCTCAAGTCATGCCTGGCTGTGACATAGGAAAGTGAGTTCTGAGGAGTGGCATTCCAGTCACAGGCACCTGAACATTCTTGTTTTCAATTTAACTGTGATTGTTTGTCTTCATCTCCATGATCCAATTCCATCCTGTTGCTTAAGGTACTGGTTGTAATCTGATTTTCTTTGAGTTTTCTGAAGCAAATGCCACTACTTCTTTCATGTGTTTTTAAAGGGTCACAGGCAAAAGGAGATCTCAACTTGTTGTAGCTAAGATGTCAGCTGTCACCATACATACATTAATACAATATTTAAGCAAAGACTGGTAATTCTATTAATTCCTCCCCAAGTTGGTACACACGTAATGTACATCCCCACATTCAAAATGAGTCCTCAGCCAGCTGTCAGCTAACATGAGCAGGCCTGGCTCTGAGCTGAGAACGTGCCGTGTAATCACGGGCAAACTTACTTCATTGAAGTATGTATGTGTTTTCTTGTGTCTTCTGATGTACCTATGAGCTAGTACTAAGAAAGGTAACTTAGCAGTTTGAATGTGACAGTTTGCACACGTTTGAGTTACCAGTCTCTTTTTGTAGCAGTTCATGCTAGAGTTCTAAGAAGAAAGGACAATTTTTCTCTGGATCTGACTCTTCCAATGTCTCTAACCTTTCTAATCTTCATTAGGGCCCGCCTTCCAATGAAGATGCCAAGGAAAAGGCAGCTCAAGGCATAAAATCCTTTGAACAACTGATTTCAACCAAGTGTAAGAAACTCCATGTGCTGTTCAGTGTTCTGTAAGAGCTCTAACAAATGTATATATTCATATTGTTAGTTCCCCCCACTGTTTGCAGTTAAGCATCAACACTTCAGATATTTCATACTTGACTCCACAAAAAAAAGTAGGCAAAAGTAAATGGGATGTTCTGTAAATTGTTTCATGGAGTGATTAATGACTCGCTTCTTTCATTTGCATTTGTTTTGATGCATCATATAACAACTCCCGTGAGCTCTCCAAAACCAAATGAGATGTGCAAGGGTAGTGCTCAGATGAGAAAAGTTCAAGGGACACTTAAGCTCTAGATAGTTACAGACACCTGGGTGGTGCTCTTTACTGAGATCTCTTTGGAACTAAAACTGAGCAAGAGGCTGTGACTTGCCCAAGTCAGACGTGACATTAGTCATTTTGGTGGAGAACAGAATCAATTTACCTAGCCTCTGGTAACCGCTTTACCCAAGAATATTGTGTAGCTAATGAAGATGAGCTCTTATTGAAGACCTGGGGGATACTTTAACAGTGGTATTGAAAGCAGTAGATCTCTTTTCCTTGACCGTGGTTTTGCACTGATGGCTGAAGGCTCATCACCTTGTTTTGTCTAGGGAAAAGCAGAGAGAAGACGTTGTTGCAGAAATCAGTAGTAAGTGACCGCCTGCAGCGCCTGCTTCAACCAAAGTTGCTGAAGTAAGTACTGTGCAAAAATCTTTCTCTTTATGAGAGCATTGTATATGAAGGAACGAGGGGATACATGTGGAGATTCCCCCTTTCTTCAGCAAGTTCTTGTGTTAACTGTTTGCAATTCAGTAAGGTTACAAAACATGGCAGAGAGAATTTGACTGTCACTGTTGGGCCTGGGAGAGCCACTTTGTGAATTATAGCAGCAGTCTTCAAACTCTTCTGTCCTGTGGGCACCAGTGTAGAGGATGACACTGTTGTAGGTAGCAGAATCTTCCCTTCTTTGTTGGCATCTGTGTTATCTGTGTGTGCACGGTACCAAAGAGTCTTGGACTGCAACGTTCTGACCATAAGCAAGAGGTTACAGCATTTGGGTTGGGTTGTAAACACTTGATGATGGTTTTGTGGGTATCTGGCAGGTGGGAAGGTTTTGTTTGGTGTTGTGGCATTTTATAGCCATTCCCATTGACACAGTGGTATAACTTAAAATAGTCTGCTGGGCTTGAAGCTGAAACTGTGATATGTAGTGAGTCTTAATGGTGTGTCCAGCAAGAGGTTTCTGTGCCTGGAGCTGGTATGGTCTTTGTTTCTTGCTGTTGCAGCAGCAATTGTTTCTCTCTGTAAATACCAAATAATTAATCTGAGACGTCTTCTGGGTCAGTGATTTGCATTGAAGGGGCAAAAATAGGACAATGAGTGTGCCACGTGGGAAAGCCTAGAACAGCAACAGTTTTGTGTACTGTGGAAATAAACTTGCAGGGAAGAACCATGCTGATGGGGAAACTGCCATGTGTCTTCTGATGCCATTGACCTTGTTCCCATCTAGTCATATTAAGTAATGAAAAAAATGTCTTTGAACAGGTTGAGTTATTTGAATCGGAAACTGGAGAAAGTCAAGACTGAAACAGAGAACCAGATCTTGGAAAAGCAAATCAAAGAAGTGGAGCAAGAAATAGAGACAATTAAGTGAGATGTCTTCTTTTTGTGTTCTCGGTGAAAATGCAAGTCTGTTCTTGGAGTTTAATTCTTAAAGTTCCCTCCTTCCTTCGAGCACTTCTAGATGTGACATTTGGAGAAATGTTTATTTGTGGTGGCTTGCAAAAATTTAAGTGCTGTTCAAACTCTGCAGCGTTCTCATCTCCACAGTTCTTTACTAAGAATCGTGTTTTGAGTCTTGCTACAAAAATGCAGCGTCTATACCCGATATAGAGGCGCTGCTTTATATAGTTCTTGATTTATCAACAAAGGAGCAGAGAGCTCTGAAATTTTTAGTAGTTCTGAGCTTTTGCTCATTAACATGTCTAGAGCAATTTTTTTTTGATAATGCATTAGTTGTTTCGCCTTGTAAACCAACATCATCTTGTAGGGAACTCTCTTTAAGTTACCATGTGAAAGAGCCTGATGCTTTTAGGTAGTAAATGTTCAGTTCTTGTGGAAGTCAGTAACAGGTAGGAGGAATAAGATGAAGCAAGATCAGGAAGACAAAGTGACTGTTCCATTAACCATTTAATGTGGTTCTTTTTTTCTCTTTGTACCTTCTGCTTTAGCCAACTCCCAGAAAGTGACTTGTTGGGAAACAGATTCGATGAGCATGACTGGGAGAAAATTTCAAACATCCATGTAAGTGGGGAGATCAGCTGTTTTATTACTGCTGATATCTTTGTCCCTTTTCCTGAGAATTAGCTGATCTGGTCTAGTTTGCACCTGCTGTTGCCATCATGCATTTCTTGAAGTTGACTGTTAGGTGATCTCAACTTGGCAAGCATAGAAGTACTGAAAATTTGATCTCACTGGTGAAATTTGATTATTTAATTCTGGAAAACTTAGCAATAAGACATATCTGTAATGCAAAATATATTCCTTGTATCGGTGTTCCTGTCTGTCCAGGCGTTGAGTCCCAGCTCCAAGGCAAAACCAGATTTTTGCTGTTTCTTTTAGTTTGATGGACAACGTAGTTCAGAAGAACTGAGGAAGTTTTGGCAAAATTGGGAGCATCCAAGCATCAACAAAAAAGAATGGACTGAGGAGGAAATAGAGAGGCTAAAGAAGATAGCTGCTAAACATGGTTATCTGGACTGGCAGACTATAGCCCAAGAGCTGGGGGTAAGGTCTGAGCTCAGAAACAAGAGATGAAAAGTCCGTTAATTCTGACTTACCTGTGGTTTATATACATTTCCAGAAATGTTAATTCATTTTTAGTCAGTGCTTTTCTGAGAAACGTTCAAGAACAGTGCCAGTAAAGTTTGGTACTTCAGCCTTGCCCTCTTGCTTTTTATCCTTATAAATATCCAGTTACCTGAGTAACTCTGTTTCAATTGTTTTAAGACAAACAGGACGCCTTTTCAGTGCTTGCAGAAGTATCAAGCCTATAACAAAGATTTGAAAAGGAAAGAATGGACCAAAGATGAAGATCAGATGCTTTTAGAGCTTGTTCAAGAGATGAGAGTAGGAAGTCATATCCCATACAAGAAAAGTAAGTGACTTACAAGTGAAAATGTCTTCTATTCACCCGTAATGGTTGGGTTTTTTTTCATTCTCCCAAGCTTATGTCTATTAATAGTTCTGCATACTAGAGCACCCAGCCTAACCTGATTCAAGGAATCAGTGAAGTCTTATTTCCTATGAATGTTTTCATTTCCAGGATAGTCACAGTTCCGTGGTTTCGTGTTACCTTTCTAGCCTGTGATCTAGATAGGGCACAACAGTTCTGTGCCTCATCTCAGACTACAGATGTAACTGATTCTAAATCCAAGCCTGTGAGTGTAACACCTGGTGTGTTGAACCTGTCAGATACGTATTGGAGCTGAAACCTTTCCTAGTTCTCTGTTGTTGCAAGATGGATTGTTGGGTCATCACATCTCGTATGGATAATGCCATTTTCAATAGTAATATTTTGTGTGTGATGCTCTTTCAGTTCTTGTTTTGTACAATTTTTTTTTAAGTATTTAAGCTGAGATTTAAATGTTGCTTATGGCAATCCCGTGTTTGAAAATATCATGATTACAATGTAAGTAAAGGAAGAAACATTGTTTGCAACAGACTTTAAAAGACACCTTTGCATTTCTAGTTGCTTATTACATGGAAGGAAGAGATTCTGCTCAGCTGATTTATCGATGGACAAAAAGCGTGGACCCCAGTTTGAAGAAAGGACCCTGGACACCAGAGGAAGATGCTGTAAGCTCCATTCGCTAATGCCTAGAATTGCAGGGTGCAAAAATGAGAAGGTTAGACTGTTGAGATGTTTCCTGGCTATCTACATCTGAGTTTTAACAGTGTCACCAAGGAATGTAAAATGGCCCAAGATGGGCAGTTTACAAGTCAAGAGGGCTTAGAAGCTCCTAAACACTTCTGTTCAGAGATTTACAACACAGTGGAAACAAATACAACTGCTTCTGCCTCAGGCCTGTTATGATGATGATTGCTGAGAATTTCAACTCTTGCTTTGTGTGATTAACATAGATGCTGTTGGCTGCAGTTAAGAAGTATGGAGAGCGTGACTGGTATAAAATTCGGACTGAAGTGCCAGGGAGGAGCGATGCTCAGTGCAGAGATCGGTAAGTACAGTGAATGCAGCAACTGTGCTTTCAAGTTTATTACACAGAGCCAAGCTGCAACTTATTTTACAGATGTTTGATTTGCTTAAACCAGTGTCACTTTAAGGGCTGTTTTGTAAGAGTGGTTATAGTCTAAATACAGTCTCTTAACATTGTCTCCACATAACCCTGCATCTGTAGTTACGGAAGTCAAAAACTTGAAATGGAGTTTCACAGAGAGAAGAGCGCACCGTTGCCTGTGGTGTGCTACTCCCTCGGTACAGTTGCCTGTGGGTTAGCAGAAGTTGGGAAGGATAGTGTTCAGAATAAAGCAAAGAGGTCATTAAACCTGAATGGGTGCATGTAGGGAAGGAAGGCTGTTATCCACGTATTGTCTGTATCTGTGAAAATTATCTAGTCAGTGACTTCCTGTAGCTGAACGCCAATAATGAGGTGCTGAGCGATTTTCAGCCTTGGACCCAGCTTCAGGAGACTCAGAGTACAGTATGCCCTAATTCTGGTGACCCGTTTTACAGCTGCTTGTTGTATTGTGGCCTGGTATTTTTGAGAACAAAGAGATTGTAGCTGTAAGGATGGGACCCCTTAGAAAAGAAGAGCTCTGATAAGGAACACTGGTTTTGTTCAGCCTTGGAGTATGCAGTGATGATCAGAACCATACAAGCAGGATTGAAAGTTCCTTACTTTAATGTTTTCATTTTGAAGGTACTTAAAAGCATTGCACTGTGATGTAAAGAAAGGCAAGTGGAGTTTAGAGGAAGAGGAGCAGCTAATTGAACTGGTTCAAAAACATGGCCTGGGTAAGTGTTTCTGTGACTTAATCTTTAGAAGCTTAGAGAAGTAAGTATTATTAAGGAATTTATAATTGAAGTTTTCTTCTCTTTTATTTCAAGCCCTGCAGCTGATACTAGCTGTGCTTCTTACTGGTGATTGCAACCTTCCTTATATTGTGTAGTCTCTTCCTGGAAATTCAGTTATTGAGGGATTGTGTAGTAAAGAGTTTGGTAGCTGTGTTGGCAAGGTGTCAGAGCTGTGACAGTTTGGAGGGGCAAGTTCTCCCCTAAGCAGTCTGTGAAAGAGTTCTCTTATTTTCTCTAAGACAGCTTTCCTTCACAAATAGAAGCTTTTCAGCATTCAGTTTAAGCTTTCTTCAAAGCACTCTCTTACTACTGCAAGGGACTGTGTAGTTCTGCTAGGGTTTTTGTTATTGGTTTGTTTTCTAGTAGTTCCTAACCTTACCTGAGCGTACAGGAGTGCAAAGTCTGATCGAAGAACACGAGTGGGTGTTAAGGTTTTGAGATCCATTCATATAGTAACTGTTTCTTATACAGAGAAATGTAGAATATGTGTATAAAGTTCTGCACTGAAAAGGCCTGGCACTCAGTTTGTTGCATTAATAGGTGTGCTCTACTCTGCATCCTTTTCAGGTCACTGGAGTAAAATAGCTTCTGAATTGCCACATCGGACTGGCTCCCAATGTCTAAGCAAGTGGAAACTCATGATTGGGTCTAAGGTATTGCACAAAATCCTGCTTATGTCTCAGTCCTATCTCTTTAATTAAGATTCTTTAAACTAAAAGTGAAATCAATACAAAAATTGGCATTGATTTCACACAGTCAGGATTTTTGTCGTGGATGTTCATGGTCTGATTTTTTGTTGCGTTTAAGCAGCCTTTGTTCTGAAGGTCCAAAGTTAATTTGCTGTATATTCATATATTATCCAGAATTTCTTTTCTTCTTTGAAGTGCCTGTAAAGATGGGATATACTGAGGCTTTCATGTATGTACCTCACAAGTTGCCAGTTTTGGTACCAGGCACTCCAGAGATTCTGGCTGCTTAAGACAGTGTTAAAGATATTCTTGTTTCCATTGGCCAAGCACCTGCCCTAGGAAAGGGTTCCTAGAAACCTGGAAGTGTTGAGATGGGGCATTGTACTTGGTTTGTAGTTCCACGTGCACCACTTCTGTAACACAAACTTGTCTCTATCTGTAGCTTTTTCTTTGCACACCAGAATCTAAACCAATAAAAATCTGTGTCCAAAGGCAATTGTCAATGGTACTGGATTTAGTTAATCTTAGCAAGTAAAGCAGAACTATCCATTTGGAAGCCACACCTTACAGATAGGATACTGCCCCATAAAACTTTCTAACTTACTGATTTGAGAGATTTGCAAGTCAAGGGTGAACGCTGACTAAAACTTGTCTGTGCTTTTTTTGACTGAGAAGAAAAGATCTAGGCCAACAAAACGCCAACACGTGCAAGAGAGTTCCAGCTCTTCAGAGAGTAGCAGTGAAGATGTGGAACTGGACTTATCAGACAGTTCAGAAGAGGAGACAACAAGCAAGGAGGAGTGTGCAGTTCCCAGCATTGATTTGTGGATCCCAACACAGACAAATATGCAGGAGTCAAACAAAGGAAGATACCAGACTCCATCCCTTTTCTCTCCTGTGAGTGCTGATGCAAAGGCCAGTAGCAGCGAAGTTCCAAGTGCAACGTGTGATGGAGACAAGGACAGAGCTGCCGGTAAATCGTCAGAGTTGAACACCCTCCTGAGGGGCATTGCACGTCCCCATTCAACAGACATTGTTGTGAAGAATCCAGAAGAAATAATCAACAAGGTGAATCCTGGGATTCTCAGTCTGTTCTTGATGGGGTTGGAGCTTAGATCTGAAACCACCAAGAAGGGCAGTTGCTGCAGGAGTATGTGATGAGTAGATGGCAAAATCTTCTTCGTGTCTCTGCTGGCTGCTTTCTCTTTATGCCATTGGGAGGTGCTGTTGGAAACTGAGCTGTGGGATTAAACAGAAATTTCTAGTACTGCCTCCCCATGCATTACCTAGAAAACAGCTGTGTTCTTTCTTACCCATAGTGTCACAGAAACAAAGCCTCTTTTATATCTTCACAAAGCAGAATTGTTCAGTGAGTTGTGGTGTCTCTCTACCCCGGTGACTAGGACATACAGGCCTAAAGTTTGTAAGAATTGAGTTACTTTTATACAACTGTATGTGATTCTGAGTTGGGTTTTCACCCTTAATCAGGCACTGAAACGGTTCAAACCATTGTTTAGCACATTTTTGCAGAAAGATACTCCTTAGCAAAATATTAAATGTCACAATTGCTATTTAAGTTCATGTAAGCAAAAACTTTCTGACGTTTCTCTTAAGAATTGCACATGTGCCCTAGACTGCAGGGTCAGTTGCACTGATGCCAAGTTTGATTACAGAAAGGGTGTGTTCTGGGGGTTATGGTATGCAAGGGTTGCAAGTGCTTTAATTTTGGTTACAAATACAGCATTATTTTACTGGGACAGGTTTAGGGAAGAGTCAGTGGCTTTTCCAGACCTCTTCCTATGCCTTCCTTTGTACTGTTAAGCTAAGAAATGCAAAGAGAATCATCCAATAAATTTTGACCCTCGGTGTGAGTGTTTGTAGATACTTCACACAAAGGCTTTTACGAAATGGCGATTTGGTATTGTGATAAGGACTAAAAGGTAAGGTAAGCGTCTGCACTTCGGGGCTGATTTTGTTTAATAAGATACTTCTAACAGC